ATACCAACGCATCTACAGGTAGCGCAGAGAGAATCTGGAGAAGGATCGGAGATTTGTTGTTCGATGGTGAAAAGAGGGAAAACGACGCCGGTTGCTTCGCTACCAAGGAAAAGGCAAGAGACGGTGTTTCCTCCGTCGACGGTGTAATCTTCTTTGACGGCGTAATCAGTGAGAAACGATCTGATGTTGTCACGGAAAGTTGAAGAGAGGTCGTCGACGAAGGGAGAGGAAGAAGGAGTGGCAGAATCGTTAATAATGAGGATTTTTAGGGCTTTTTTCCTCTCCGTGCAAGCGTCGTAAACGGTTATCGCCATGACTGAAAAAGGACTACGAGAGAGAGAAGGGGAGAGAGATTGTATCTTATCATTGGTATCACGTGACATTGGCCGATTTGTTGAGGGAGAGAAAAAATGACTGCTTCTTTTTTTAGTGTGTGAAGTGACGATTTTGCCCTTCTTGCGGCGGCGTTTGCAGCCGATTTCCGTACTGTTTTGTCGTTTTGTAATTTTTGGTTTGTTTTTCAAAAGGAAATATGACTGGGATTTCCGGTTTTGTATGGTTCGCGTATTGCTAATTTTTTGCTTTGTTACAGCATTTGGTCGACTTTATGTTCGATTTTGTTAACCCGTATTTGGTTTATATGGATATTTAGTCCGGTTTTGATTACTACATCCTTAAACCATTTTAATGTTTACTCATATCAAATTCAATTAATTCAAGTAATGTAAAAAAAGTTTCGAGTTTAGTTAAAAACCGATCTGAAAATACGATACCTATACTTGTACTTATTAATTACCGTATTTCGTAAGTTTTATTTTTCTTTATCTTAGACCAATGGGTATGTATGTAAAGGCGAAGAATAGCTCTGTGTGGTTTCTGAATTTGTGTGTTCGTGTTGGTGTATTTTCTGTCTTATAAGATAGCTTATTTGCCAAGCAACCAGTCCATGCTCTGTGAAAATAAATAAAAACTAGTCAAGACTGTTGTATAAAGAAGATTATATATCCACTAAATAAATAAAAGACTCGTGTGATTAGTTTACCTTGACACATTCAGGCAAGTTGTTATCTTTGGTCCTAACATGAACCTGCAAATATTTACTATTGTTTGATCTCTGATACCGACTTGTATAAGTGTATTGAGATTCAATTTCAGCTTTTGGATTTTGTTACCTCTATCACACTTGTGTAAGCTTCGTGGTCGTTGTTTTGTGTGCAAGCAAGAATCACCAGTGTTGCAGCTAGAGTAGAAGGCCAGTAACGAAGTAGAGAATGGTCGGAAAGCGCCATGATTGCTAAAGATTTAGCATTGCTTTCAACTTGTGGATTGGCTTTTGCGGCCTTGAGATAGAACCTGAGATTTTGTAGCATGTTCTTGTGATTAAGAACAAGAGAATATATATATTGTGGTAATTATGTAGATTTGATTATTAGTTTCATTACCATAAGAAGTTGTAGATTGTTGGTGAGAAACATTTGAAGCTGAGGACTTCTTGCACCAACCATTCCATTGCCACAACTTCACTTCGGCTGAATCTTTCGTCTTGGATGTAGAATTTCCTTCTCTGAACACTACAAGTAATTGAAGAAAGATTTGTAATAAGTAACACTGTGAAGCTTAAATTACAATAACCAGTGTACAATTAGTGCGAGTTTACGTGTTGAAGTATTGCTTTTCCTCGATTCTGGTGGCTAGAGTAAGGCAAGCAATTCCAACAATGAGTAGACTCCTTTGGCTTTTGAAGGATCCTTTGTTCAGGAACCGATCGAGGAGACTAACTCCTAGAAACAATGTCTCTTTCTGAAGCTCCATTATTGTACATTCCTGCAAATAACCAGAGAGAAAGCAAAATGGTTGGAGCTAGCATCTTATTATAAGGTTTCAAGATTACAAGCAGAGTAACACAATGGATGATTTCTAGTCATCATATCAAATCTCTACATTGTAGAGTTTACATGCATTTGAAAAGGTAAGACAATACTCACATTAACAATCCATTGAACAAGGATTAAGCGTAGATGAGGAATGAGATCACTCTGGTCTATCCCAGAGTAGTAGTCTTTACCATAGCCCTGCAAATAAGCATGGCTTCTCTCTCTTTCCCTCAACCTCTGATAGCTCTCTTCCACCTCCTCATCGTCAAAGCTACGCAACTGAAACCAAAGCAGCCTTAAAACACTACAGAAGAGAAAGCTTTGGACTCCAAAGTTGAACAAAAAGCTTTGGAGTCTAATGTGGAAGAAAGAGCAGAACGATGTAACAACTCAATCTACCTAAAATCCATTCCAGAATTTGAAGTTCCATGGAGAAAGAACAAACAAAGTTTCAGCTAATTCATGGACAAAGAATCACTGAATATTCAACTAACGACCACAATTTGAAGTTCTTCCTAGTCATACGAAGTGCATAAGAAAAGTATTAAGGAACAGATTCTTACTTCAGGAAGAATCTCTTGGTGTTCATCATCCGCAAGAGATGGTTTCGCATCGTTTGGGATTTTCGATCTCCGGAACTGCTTTTTGAACTCGAGGAAGAGACTATGAGTATATGACGGAGTAGAATCACACACTGATTTCTCAGAAAACTCACTGCCTGACTCGAAAAAGATCGACGGAGTGTAATCCGACGAACCGAGGTCCGAGTAATAGTAGTCGGAGACCTCTTTGTTTGAGAACTGCTCCGTACAAGCGAGATTTGGGATCTCGAGCTCCGGTTTGGAGATTTCGATTCCTTCGTTACCAAATCCTCCAGTAACACTCCCGAATTTCGAGCTCGAACAACACTCCACTCTTGAAACGACGTCGTTATCCAACTCGAAACTCAAATTCCGGCAATCGGAGAAATGATCGGCGGCGAATGTCACGTCGGATCGCGTGAATGAGATTTCAGCGTTCAGATTTGTGTTCCTTAAGCCATAAACGGAATCCGATTCGACGCAAAACGATTTACTCAATTCGATCTCATCTCTCTTCCTCTCATTCACCAACTTAGAGTATGATCTCGTGATTCTCCGAAATTTCAGATCATCAATCGAATCTAGCTTCGGTCCAGAAATTTCCACTTCGTCGATCCGTCTCTTCCTCGAGTACGAGCTCGAACCACATGAAACGTCGAGAAAACAGTCGGAGCTAGAAACGACGGAATCGTTAGAGATTCCTTCTTTCTGGCGCTTGAGATTTGGCCGGTAAACAACCGGAGAGATCTGAGATTTCTTCCGACGAGACGTCGATTTAGCTTTCTTCTTCACGGAGAACGGCTTCACTTCAGCTTTTCGTTTCGCGACCCTCGACGACGCCTTCGCTTTCCCCATTCTTTCTCCGACGAATCAGCTTCGATTTTTTTTTTTTTGAAATATTCGAAATTCGTTTTCTCAGAGACTCAGACGGTTATACAAGGTTTTATTTAGAGCAAAATTTGGAGAAGAAGAAGCAGTTATACTCGAAGGGTATTTATGTAAAATCACCATAAACTTGGTATTATTGTACTATTTTTCGTATCACAGGCCTTAAATATGTTGGGCTTATTGTGAATTTCATTTTGTACCCAATACTATTTTTTATATATATATAATCTCTGTTGGGTTTATTCTTTATTGTATAAGATAACCCCTGAACCCCACTTCAGAAAGTTGTTCAATACAGAAAAATTTATAATCAATCTGAATCTTCCATGTTCAGATTGTTTTCAGAATTATGCAATTTAGCATTCAATTTTTTTTATAAGGAAACTGCATAATTTAATTACACAATTTAAAACTATACATAGTGAAGAAATTTTTTACAAACTTAGAGTGCTGAATCTACGTACATTATATTTTGAAGAGAAATCAAAACTTATAACATCTCTCACTAAAAAAAACTATAAATATGTGAAAAAGTAAAATATCATAAACTTGAGTTTTAAATCAACATTATATTGTTTTAAAAAATGATCAAAGACACGATTTCAAGTCCGAATAGTTTTACAATTATGTTATTCTAACTCAAGTTTCTTTAATTCAAACCCAAAAGTGTGAAATATTTGGTGAAAAATAATATTTTGAAATTCAAGGAAAAATAAATCCGAAATTTGAGTATTAAAGCGTTATATTGTGTTGACAAAACGAATTTGGCACCACTAACGATCAAAGACAATGGTCAATGATAGGATTCCACGTCCGAATGATTTTCACAATTATATAACTTTAACACTCATATTTCTTTAATTAAAAATTTAGGTGGAAACAAAAAACTATAGTCAAATAAGTCTTTAAATCATTGAAAAAAATTATTAGAAACTTGAATACTAACTTTACGGTATAATGTATTGACCAAACGAACTTGACACCGCTAACGATCAAAGACAGGATTCCAAATTCGAGTATCTTTTTCACAACATAAAGTAAACATAGCATTCAATTTATTTGGTTTAAAATCCGGAAAATCTATTAAAAAAAAAGGTTAAGTCAAAGTGTCAAACTAGTTTTGAAAATCCGAAAACATCATTAAAACGAAAAACATTGGAGAAAATATAAGAGCATGAAAAAATTAAAAAGTGAATTTAGTGAGAGGCTTTATAGTCATAAGAAATAGAACTTGTACCAAAATCTTCACGGTAAAATTGTCCATGTCCATAACCTTGCGCCAACGAAGACTTTGCTACACATTCACAAAACAAAAATACGGAGAATCAAATATAGGCATATGCTTCTTAATTAATGAATGCTACATTTATTTATCTGATAAACTCTATATTGTGATTCATACTTTAAATTGCAAGAAAACTTACATCGATCTTTTATCTCTTCTCTTGGTTGGGTTTGTTGCTAATATACGTCTAAAAGCTTCCATAAGATTAAAGATTTACCCGAAGATTCTGAACAATATCTGTAAACGAAACAACCACAATTTAATTACTCATCTTGTAAAATAAACAAATATGTTTTGATGAATTGAGAAGAAACTACAAAAACAGATTAGTTGTTTGGATACTTACTTGATCGATGAATCTGTTGAATAGAAGAAAAAAAAAATGAGAACAAGAGAGACATTAAACAAAATTTATATAATTTGTAGATTTTTTTGTTGGCCGAACAAATCATTTGATATATGGGTTAGAGATATTTATAGAAGAAAATGTAGCCGTTTGAAACAATTACCGTTTGAAAAAAAAAATTACCGTTTGAATAATACAATTAACGGCTAGTTTGTATAAGATATTTAATCTATGACAAGACCTCTGGAATTACTATCAACAGAAGAATTTGAAGAAAATCAAACTTTTAACAAATGCCAGACCCAACAATGTACAACAACAATTAAGATGTTACAAATCTCCCAAACCATCACGTAAGCTCTTGTTGATTGCTTGGCAAGCCACTTTGTACCTGATCTGGCTAGAACGAAACAGCCGCCTTCATCGCAGCTCCTACAAACCGGTCNCAACCATCAACAGGGATATTGACCGTTTGGTAAGGAATCGCATCTCTAGTCTTCGTCTGACTCAACCATCAATTGCCTCGGCATTAATACANCTTTGGTTCTCCACGGCATAACCTCAGGAGAAACGAAATCGATTTCTGCAAATTATTATCTCTTCCCTTGACTCTTCGATAATCAACTACAAAGAGATGGTTTCGATATTGGGCATTCATAGGCTCTCTCATCTTTGATTCAATTTTGGTTCTTGTGTGTTTATGAAAAAGGCTATTTAGTCAACTGAGCCTCAAGCCATGTAACATTTGCTATTCTCATGTTTTAAATAGAAAATCTTTAAAAAAAAAAAAACAATGTACAATAATGGGTCTCTTATAATTGGACCTACAAACTATCTTTATCTTTTGTAGAAGGTGTATACATTGTTGGCATTAACACTATTTTGACATTTTTGTTTGGTAGATTTTGTTCTATGAACCACCACGATTGTAACAGTTTATTCATATTTTGGTGGATTG